TCTCAAGTTCATGCAAGTAAGGATGCCATCAAAAGAGCATTTATAACAATAATATTCATTTTCAATCCAATTAAAAAATATTTTGATATTTTAATAAATACATAATATACAATAAATTCTGGTGAATAAAAAAATTACTTTGATAGTAATATTTTTTGTTTTTACAATTCATATCTCTAATATATTTAAAACTTTTTTTAAAAATAAATTGTGAACATTAAATTATAGTAAATAAAAAATTTTAATTATTATATTTATAGATAACACAATCATTATAATTTATTAGATATTTAAAAATTTTATTTGATATTTATAAATTATGAGTATTTATAAATAAATCAAACATCAGTAGAATTGCATGAGCATACCAACTAAGTATATAACAAAGTGATGAAATTTTTGCCCAATAATCTGATTATTATTATTTTTTGGAATCTTTCTTTTCGCAACCACTACACGTCATTGTGATTTTAAATATGAATTTGTTTGAGCGGACTGTGTTGGGATACATTCTTATCTACCGTGAAATGTTGGGGTTGAATAAGGTAGGACTATATTTGATATGCTTGTTGATGTGGGGTTCCCAAGGGCGATTATTGCTGATCCCAACAAAACCTGAACCAGATGATGCCGCTGCCTCAGCTCGTTGGCTCGTCTCTCTCAATTTCTGGGGAGTTTTGAAGTACACCCACTAATTCTCTCTCCAAATTGCTTTCATTTTCACATGTTCCATGAATTTGTGTTAACTTTCTTTTTTTATTTATTTGCTTGCTTGAATTACCAATTCCTATTATCATTTATTCATCTGGTTCTGAAACTCAAACCATGTAGCTCAACTGCACTTTTCCCCCTTTTCTTTGCAGTACTATCTCAGTTGATTTGGGTGGAGCTCCCTTTGGGTAAGCGTTTCTTGCTTTTATTTTTCATATTTTTTTAGCCTTTTATACGTTGTGTGTGTTCAAGCTGAATCAGAATACAAATGCATTCTATAAAATAAGTTACACTCTGCTGCATAATGATCATCGCATCGGGTCAATGAAAAGGAAATTTTGAAAATAAGGCTAATCTAATTCTTTGCTATTCCTTCAACTTTCCATCCAACTATACTTATTCATTTATTTGCTAAAAATTTATATAGAGGGTTTATGGTACCTTCTATGGATGTACCTTCTACATTATTGACCACTGGATTTGGCACTGGGATTTGTTAATTTCCGATACCAAAAAATTATTGTTATATTATCTATATGCAGGAATGTGGTATCATTTAGTGATGGACTACCTAATGAAGGCAGTGGAATCCCATACTTTTACTTGACAACTCTAGACCCAACAGCAAGAAATGCATTGGAAGATGAAAAAGCTTCATTCACAGTCAGTGAATACCCTCTTGGGACCTGTGGCAGGAGAGACCCAATGAACCCCACTTGTTCAAAAATTTCTCTAACAGGAAAGGTGTGTGAAAAATTGAATTATATCGAATATGATCATGCAGGATTTGTGACCATAATGTTTTTCCTTTATTTTTTCTATCTAGTCTGTATCTTTGTCAGATCTAAATTTTGCTCTTTTCTTTTGCCATTTTCCATGTTCATACCAGCTATCGATATGATGTTTCAAAATAATAATTTAATAATAAAAACAGTAACTTGCACTGTATTAATTAGTCAACACGTGATGCAGTATGCATATATTTCTATACGTATATGCCCATGTCGGATCTTAATCCTGTGTCTCAATTTGTCCTCGAACTCTCGCTTGAAGATGCATGGCATCATAATGGACATGCTACCCTTTTTGACTTATATGCTATTTTTCTGATTTTTTCTTACATTAATTTTAATTTGTATAATGTTGCAAATTATCAATAAAATGATAATATGAGAAGTATAAGACTTGTATAAAGTGACTTAAGAACTCTACGAAAGATTTGATTGGGGAGGGATGAAATGTGTTTAAACAGACCATACAAGGTCTCCATATATATTAATTCAGAATTAATTACAAAGATTCAATACTAATGACACAAATATACAATCTTAAATTAGTTTTATGATTGCTCCTAATTGATTCTATCATATAAACATTACAAGCTACTGTAATATTGTAACTTGTTAGATATTCTAACTCTCCCTATGTTGTGTGTATATATCATGTGTATTGAGCTTCTCACTTATATAGTGGACACAAGGACTATTAATGGCCTTGGTAAAGTTGGTAATTACAATTTATAAATGCTAATGTGATCTCTCAGATTGAATTTACTCCCAAACAAGGTGATAATCAATCTAAATGTGTTTTGTTCATTCTTGAAAGACACAATTTAAAGTGATATGCGTAGCATAGCCTGAGTGTCAGATATAAGTATCCTTGGTTGTGATTCACAAATGTTCAATTATTTGACCAACTACTTTAACTAGATGAGTCACAAATCATAGTTCCCATTGCTCAATACTTTGCTTTTGCACTTGATCATTAAAGTGGCAACTGTAGTTTGTTTTGTTTTTTGCTTTTTCACAATATCAAGTAGAATTCCAATAAAGAACACAAAACACTGAAGTAGGGTTTCTATTTGATGGAGAGCTTGCCTAATCAGCATTCATATATGTTTGAAACCACAAACAGAATTAAGGAAAAATAGTAGAAAATAGCAAACACTAATAAGAAGTCTGTGTATTATGAAGCATAAAGAGAATATAGAGGAATAGTAATCCCCATTGCCCAGAGCAAAGCTACTCTAGTGGCACAAATGCTCTCTGCCCATAACCAACTTCCACCTCCAAAATTGTCCTGTCTCTTCCCCTTGAGGACCCCCCATAACAAAATTCCCTTCACATCCCAAAATTGTCCTCAAGTCTGAACAACGGAAACTGGCTCCAAAAATTGAACTCCTCCTCCCAGGTTGCCTCTTCAACAGCCTTGCCCTTCCAATTTACCAGCAATTGGCTAACCAATTCACTTGCTTGAGTGATGCTACAAGTTGCCAATATGGCCTCTGGTTCACCAGAAGTTAACTGTATCACCATTCAAATCAGAGGGAAGGTCCTCCTCTACCCTGTAATTCCTGACAACCTTCAACAAAGAAAGACGGAATACCAGATGAATAATGCAGTTTCCGGTAACTGCACTTTGTATGCTATGGCTCCAACTCGCTCAGTTACTTGGAATTGACCATAGTAACAAAGAGCCATCATGGGGCAGATGCGTGCTCCAACAGTTTGTTGTCCGTGAGGGCATAGTTTTAGGAAAAACCCAATCCCAGATCTCAAAAGCCTTATCTGTCCATTTCCGATCCGCGTAGAACTTCATACTATTTTGACCGCACTACAAATGATGCTTCAGTTGACGTAATGCCTCATCTCTGTCTAGTAAGTCTCGGTGGACAACTTTTACCTTTGTTTCCCCAATTATAAAACAAGTCAAGACAGGAGGTTTGCGACCATAAACAGTCTCAAATGGTATGGAACCAATAGAGACATTAAAGGTGGTATTAGACCAATACTCTGCCCAAGGCAACCACAACACCCAAGTTTTGGGTTGAGCGGCAATAAAACATTGAAGAAAAGTCTCAAGACGCCTATTAATCACCTCTGTTTGTCCATCCATTTGTAGATGATAGGCAATGCTCATCTTCAACTGTGTCCCCTATAATTTGAAAATCTCTTTCCAAAGTCCACTAACAAAAATAGGAATATCACTCCACTCCGCAAGGTTTGATACATGTCGTATGGGTAATAGAGTCTCAACAACATGTCAGACACTCAACACCCCCAAGTAAGAGTGTCCATTCTTCATTTCTTTCAAAATTCTTAAGCGTTCTTTGGGTGATAAAAATGCCTCGTTAAAACTATGCCATCTAGATACATGGGGAATATTGGAGGTTACCTAGGTCCTTTGTGGCAAGAATGATTGAATAATTGTTTCTGTTCAGTGCCAAATCAGTCACTTCTAGTAATAATAATTTCATCTACATAATTAATACTTGAAAAGAGAGAATGATTTTTATTATTTCATTTATATGGATTACATTCTCATTACATCTATTTGTAACAATCTAATCCTCCAAAATAAGGAAATAAGAAACTATAATATGCTGAAAAATAAATAGGAAAATTCTACATATATTTTCTCTAAATAGGATATTTACAACATTAATAACGTAGATGCATTGACCGGAGAATTATGCTGATAGAAAATAGAAAGATTGGCTTCACTATGAGTCTTGTTGAAGTCTTGAACAACTATATTGAAGTAGCAAACTAAGCCAGTGGTGCAGCCTTTGTGACTAAACATGACTTGGATTAATCAATGGAGCCATCTACATTAACTTTAATATTAAGATCTAGCGACAACCAATGACAGAGTTTCCTGCTAGTTTAGAAACTACATCCCATGTACCATTAGAGTGCAAGGAAGACATGCCATCTAACTCACTTGGCATCAACATAGATGGGATATTAACCTGCAGTTTTGGAAATTCAAACAAAAAAATAAAAATACCTGGAGCAAAGTTGTGAGTAATTCTGTAGAGGAACACAGTCATAACTAAAAAAGCATAAAGAGGATGAGGATTACAAATGAACTACCTTTTCTAAGAGCAATAGGTGGTATGATGGAGAAACTGTGACAGAGGGAATAAAAGTAAATGAAGGTGAGTTGCCAGGATTCAAGAACATCTCTAAAACAAGGCTGGCCCTAGCCCCTAGAGGACAGCTGGGGTGAATACTGATAACTGATAAGTGATAAGAGAATGATAAAGGCCAGAAGCAAGTACGAGACTAGAGTCTTGTTTAAATAAATTTCTCCACAAATAATTATAGGATAATGTTTTATTGAAAAGGCCCAGGTTCTTTGAGAATAATCATCATTAAAGGTTACAAAATAAATGAATACTAAATTAGATATATACAAGGATGAAGGATCCTATACTAATATAATTGCATGTTTTGATTATTCCTGCACAATGAACCTAGGTTCATTTATATAGGTTCCAAAAGCAACCATGATCTGAACATCCATGGAATGGCCAAGATTGGTGCAGAAGGAGCAGCGTGTTTCAGGTTTTATTGGGAGATCCGGGCTGAAACCTGCTTTAATATGAACATAAGAATTCTAAGAATGATCCAACTAATTTGTGTCTGGACAATCCATACAAGAACTATGTGTATATATGTTAGTATTAATTGGTATAGTTCAATTCTAATCATAACAATATCTACACCTTAATCAGTTCACAAATCGCTCCTAATTGATTCTACAGAATTTACATGATATGCTTCCATAAATATCTAAGATATTCTAATAATGTGAACCACGTTTTCATACATTGATGCAGATATTATGACAATTTGGGATGCAATTCAACTGTTATGGAATAAAGTCTATTGATTTGTTAATTTCATTTTCAGCTTGTTTTGTTAATGTCCTTCAGAAAATTTTAATCTTTTCAACATTTACATTCAAGAAGTTAGGATACCCTTACTGGGTACTCCTAGATGGTTGGTGTACGTTGTACCCATACTGGGTACATACCCAGTACTGGTACTTATTCGACTTGAGTATGTACTTTTATCACTAGCTTACAAGTTAATCCAAGTTAAACACCAAGTTTTGTTACAGTGGTTTGGTTTGCTACTAAATGAAACATACTACTTTACTCCCTTCAAACATTGTGCCTTCTTTAAATATCAGACTTGGGTTAGAACTTATGCAAAATACGTTTATCTTATGATTTAATTACTTTATATTTCTATACCCATAGCCCTAATTTTTTTTAGTTTTTTATATACACATACTGGCATAGATGTTCCTACCAATAACCATGTAACTTGGTGGAAAATCATAAAGAAACCACTTTTTGGCTTTCTTTTATTTAGTAGTTCTTAGGAATTTGATAACTCTTTCTTTGTGTTTCAGCTGAAATTGGTAGATGAAAAGTCTAAGGAAGCAGAATTTGCTAGAAATGCCTTGTTTTCCAAACATCCAGAGATGAAGGGTAAATGATTTCTTTCTTTTGCTATGTGGCTGGTTGTTAAATTTCAATGCCACCTTTCTCCTTGTTATGTACGTAATAATTGATAAAAATTGATTCAGACCTTTTGTTTTTAATATTGTTTGACAGACTGGCCTGAGGATCACAACTTTCAAGTCTTCAAATTAGAAATTGAAAATATATTTCTAATTAATTGGTTTGGTGGTCCAAAACCACTCACAGTGGAACAGTACTTACATCCCAAAATGTGAGTATTAGAACAGAAATATTATCCTTGCAAGGCAATGATATGACATCGAGAACTACTACATCCTCCGAAAAAAGATACGAAATACATTCCGCATATTTAAAATATTCATATTTTTTTAATAAATTTATTATAAATAATTATTTCATTTAATATTTTACAGTTTAAATTAATTTTTTAAGTATTCGGAACAAATTTTGGACTACCATTTCGGAGAATGTAGAATTTTTCTATGACATCGCATGATATCCCTCACCCGAAAACAGTAAGAAAAATGGGGAGGGTAGGAAAGAATGTTACTATTGTAAATGTGTAACCCCGAAATTGTTCAAAAGTATTTTTTTTAGGGATGTTCAAAAAGTAATTACTTCTTATGGCATCTATCTATTTCTCATTTTTTATGTTTTGCTGATTTATTTTCTGTGCGATTATGGTTCTTAATCTGCAGGAACAATGTTGGCTTCATTCTCTGAATGCTCCTTGAATTCCAACTCCTATTGTGGGCTGTAAATGTACCTATGGTGTTGTTGGAGCATTTGTAAATAGACGTATACTGTGTTTTGTTCGAATTGTGTATTCCTTTCAAAATACTCTTGGACCATGGTTATTTATTCCCCATGTGAAGAGCTTTAAGAAATCTGCATGTTTGTGATATGTAATGTAACGATACACACTGATCTTGGGTTCTTGCCCATTATAGCCATTATAAGCGAATAAAATGCTACAATCATTAAGTGAAACAAAAGGTAAGAGAGCATTAATTGATCACAAGCAGTTGCTAGAGAGGTTTATCACAAAAATAAAAAATAAAAATTGAAAAAGAGGTTTGGAGAGTGCAATTAACTGCGGAGTAGAGAAGAGATAAAACAGAATTTAAATAATAAAAAAGATAATGAGAGAAATAGTAGTTTGAAAATGTTTATTAAAAAATAGCATAAAAACGTGTACTTCAAAAAGGAATAACTCCTTTATTAAATGTACAGACAATAAATATAAAAAAATTATCTAATTGTCATTAATCAGTAATGGTATACAAATTTAAAAGTTAAAATAATTTTTTATAAAAAATTATCAAACAATTATTTAGAAGGGTTGATGTAGAGGATAATAATGCTGAAAATTAGGACTATTATTTTAGTATTTAATTTATGACAGACTAGTTATAAGGAAGTAACTGCAAGTTGTTCAAGTTATTTATAGGAATGTAAAGTTAATCAAATTCTACCGGTTAATATATAATTTGTAGCACAGTGGTTGAAGTTGGGGTAGTAATATATGCAACTGATAGGGTCATAGTATGAATCTTATCACCGTTATTATAACTTTTATGATAAAAAATATATATATATAAAAAAAAAATTAATCCATCAAAATGAGTTGAGTTGAAACAGGTAAACTGACCATTAACCCATAGAACTCAGGTTACAAGACCCGCAAACCTAACAGGTCAAGGGGCGAGTTAAAATAAGTTGGCCCAACGGCTTTTTTCTGTTTTGAAAAAAATATTCAATCCAATTTTGAGATAAAGTTGCATGTCTAATTGTGATCGGTGTAGATGTAAGTTAATGAGTATGGAAGCAACTACCCCCACATTTTTTTATAATTATATTATATTAATTAAAAAACTGCTCCTATAAAAAAATAAATAGTATCCTCATAACTCAATTTTTAATATAAAGATAAAATTTAATAAATAAAAAAGAATAAATTATTATTAATGTTACTATTTTATTTTACTAATTTTTACTATTCTTTTTATTAAACTCATATTTTATTTTGATTTTCTCTCTCGTAAGACTATATATATTGTAAAAATTTATTGCATTTTTTCCATGAAAATATAGGTTATTTTTCGTGTCCTCACTAAAAAAAGTTTATGTATCTACCATTGATTACGATTTTATGTTTAAGTTAAAGATGATATCTTATTTTTTAGTTTAAAAATACTAGTGTCTAATTATTTGTGTTAACAATTTTGATTTATAAATTATAAATTCAATAATATTTTATTGGATATTACAATTATGGTATTACTCAATTTATTTAACTCATAATATAACAATTTCACTAAAATAATATAATAAGATAATAATTTTGATATTGTCACGTATTTATTTTACTTATTTTTATTTACTTTGTTTGGTAGGTTACTTTATGAAATTATGAGGCATTCATTTAAAAGAGTTAGGTTTAGTTGAGATTTTCAACTCAATTTTAAAAGTACAACCATACCGACTTCTCCCTTTGCAGCTCATGTACATGTACACATCCTTCCAAATACACTACTTCTGCCTCTAAGAACTTCCAAATACCCTTTCATAGTCTATTCCCTTTTGTTGAAAATAAAACAATTGATCTTCTCCAATTTTGGACGTACTATCTTCATGTACAATTCTTGTTGTTGGATTTTTCACCAGCAAAATAATTGCGATTTAATGAGCAAAATAGAACTGGACCTGGGAAGTCTGGTAGCGTAAGCCAAGAATAACTCCCCTCTGATGTTTCAGAAGATAGAAGATACATACACCAAAACCATTAAAACTACCTACCAAAGAAATCTACGACAAACACTATCCATGGGCGCAGTACAACTCGACGACCGCAGCGTGAAGCTGGTGATAAAATTAAACTTGTTTTACCCAAGAGAAAACAAACAAGTCAATATCACCATGAAATATTAATATATCACACCAAATCTATTTAACAGTTCTTTATATCTTCGTTCATAAAAATATTTATTATATATCTTAAAATATATTACATATAATCTTAAAAAATTTTCCTTCAAATTTTGTGGTTAATTAAACTTAAAAAATCCCCTTCAATAGCTATTAATACGTTGTCCAAAATGGATCGTTGCTCCACAAAAGCTGACTGTTCCTGAGATATACATTTAGGTAATAGAACTTTCACTCTGTTAGCCAAAACTTTAGAAATAATTTTGTAAATCACGTTACAAAGTGATATTGGGCAAAGGTCTTGCATGGAAGTGGGGTTGTCCTTCTTGGGTATCAGGACAACGTTTGTTGTGTTGAGTTGCTTTGGAAAAGCTCCTTGTTGCAGCCAATATTGTGTCCCTGCGTGGAAAATTTCGTGGCCAAGCAAATCCCAGAATCTCTTATAGAACCCGGGGTTTAGACCGTCTGGACCTGGGGACTTGTCAGAGTACATTGAGAAAAGGGCTACTCTAAATTCCTCCATTGTAAAAGGGTGAAGTAGTTGTACGTTGTCTGCTTCCGTGAGCCTTGGGTGTAACAAGTTTGTGACTCGTTGAATATCGCCGTTTTGTGCAGTAAACAGGGATTGGAAATATTGATGTGCAATGCATCCCATGGCTGCTGGTTCAGACGTTGTGGATCCATCTGGTTGTGTGAGAGTTGTGATCTTATTCTGCTTTCGTATTGCACTAGCCATTGCATGAAAGAACTTAAGAGTTCGTGTAGCCATCCTTTAGCCAATAGAGTTTGGCTGGTTGCTTCCAAAAGGTGTGTTGGTGCTCAATCACTACTAGAAAAATTAAAATTAGAGAAGGAACGAATCCGTCACTAAATTTTATAAAATTTATCACAAAACAAATTAATGACAGAATTTGTGACGAAACTGATTTCGTCACAAAAATTGGTATCATAAAATATATAGTGACGGATAATTTTAGTCCGTCATGATCAGTGACGGAATTAAGACATCACAAATAATATATTTTCTATCACTAATTTTTAATAATAAATGTTCATAAATTAATAAAAATTCATCGCCATTTGTGACGACCTCTAACTCCATCGCAATTTGTGAGGGACTAACTCCGTCACAAATTTGTGAGGGATATTTGTCTCTTATTAACGTCACAAGTTGAGAGAGATGTGTGTCTGTCACAAATTGTGATGAATAAAATCCGTCACAAATTGCGATGAATAAAATCCGTCACAAATTGTGAATTATTGATCTTATAAAGGACTTTTTTCATAACTATTTGTGAAGAATATGTTTTTCTCCTCTAGTTGTGATATAATTTTTTAATTATGAATATAACAAATAATTTATTAATTAATCCAAAAAGTTGAATTTATTGTCTATTTGTTTACAAAATTAACAAAATAACTAATTAAGAATTTTTTTTCAATTTTATAAAAGCATGTAACTAAACACGAATATAAGAAAGTCAAGCATACGAGAGCTATAAATAACATCAAATATAACAAAGTTAAGGACTTTAGCTGATCCCTAATGTATGATAAGTACTATAGTAAAACTTAAACATAACAAAGTATAAGTTTAAAGCATAGTAAAATTAATAATAGTAAAAGATAATGCATTCCTAAACATCTATATTATGATCATCATCTAACTCATTATCACCAGATTGTATAGTGTCAGCATCATGTGTAGGAGGAAGTTGGGGAGGACGAGAAGATTGAGAAGCCAGCCCAAGAGAAAACATCTCTGTAAATTGCTTTAGTTGCTCACAAACCAACTGAAACTCTTCCCTGTGAAGCACGAATCAAATCTGCATGGCTCTACAATTGTTTTTTCAATGTTTTGTTTTCTTCAGACAAATTTGAAACAAGATTTTTCATTTGTTCATACTCAAGATTTGAGATATCAACTGAGAATCTAGAAGAAGAAGGTTTATACTTCCCAGCCTCTAAACCTAAACCAAATATTCTTCCTTTATTGTTCACACCACCAACAACATCATAGAAAATACTATTTTCAGATTGCACACTAGAGGCAACATTCCCTGATAATTGTTGTGACTCTCTTTCAGATAACCGTCTTTCATACTCATTCTATAAAAAAGAAAAGTAAGAAACAAAAGTATATAAACATTAATGACAATAAAAGATCTCATCAATGTCATGAATGATGCGGAGAATCATGCAACAAGAACACAAAAAAATACTTAGTAAAAAGTCTAAGATGTAACTTATGAGCAACATCACTAGATAAGTATGAATTCCAATGAAATTAGTAACTTGTAAACCTAGATGCAACACCACATACACATGAATCTCATTGAATTTAGCAATTATAGTAAACTAAGATGCAAAGAAGGTGACACTTCACATTGCATGAAACTAAAATTGAGTACAACCAATAAGGTGAAATGATTCTATGTTCACATAATTCACTAAAAAATTCAAATCATATAAAAAATTACATACTATAAATGGTATGGCTTGCAATTTTGAGACCATTGACTGTAACCTATCTTAATATGTCAAGTCGATAGTGAAGGACAGAACATGACAACTTTCACAGTACCATAACCATTGTTGAAACATAACCATTGTTGTCTCTCTAATATAACCATTATATGTCAAGTCTTGCAAACATAACCATTGTTATGTCTCTAACAGAATCAATCAACTTCTTCATAATTCAATATATATAAAATTATAACTTACTACTATCCTTTCTGCCTTGGAAGACACCCATCTATTCTCGTTTGCTGTCTTATGGGTCTTTTGGAATAGGTCCCAACAAGTTGGAGTCATATTTGTAGATATTTTTTGAAGGAACAAAAAGTAATTTATTTTAATTTTAAATTTTGCTCCTTAAAAGAATAAGTAAATATTACTTACCAATCTCTTAAAATGCTCAAAGGTAGTGATGGCATCCTTCCTAGCATTGAAAGAGAAATGTTGATCAATGAGAAGGAAACCTTGACTCCTTAGATCAAGTTCTTCAAAGGTCGCAAGGTTTGGTGAAGGGAGATGGAAATGGAAGTTGAGGGTGAAGTGTTTG